CGTTTTAGACTGGTGGGTCTTCATTTTAGACCGGTGGGTCTTCGTTTTAGACCAGTGGGTCTTCGTTTTAGACCAGTGGGTCTTCGTTTTAGACCGGTGCGTCTTCGTTTTAGACCACAGGGTCTTAGGTCTTCGGTCTTCGTTTTCGACACATCCCTTCTCAGTGGCTGAAAAAGTGAAACTGCAAACATCAAACCTACCCATAAGAGTTTCTCCAGAGGGGAGGAACTCCCATGTGGAAAGGTCGGGGATTCTCGTCGTCTCGCTTAGGGGTGAAAGTTGCGGATTTTGGTCTCCCTTTGGGTGGTAAGGGCGAAAAGCACTATTTTTAGCCATCAAGGTAAATTTAAGGGTTAAACTTGCAGAAACAAAACACTCTCTCATGGCCGTTTCCAAGTGGTATCTTTTAGGAATCAAACAAAGTTCTCACCACACCGAGGTTGGTCTCCCTGAAGGCTGGTTTTCAATAGCGATGGAGTCCTAGACGGAGTTATAGTCAGAGGCAAAGAGTGATACAATCTGGTGAAAATCAAACCAACGGAGACAGAAGCAGAATACCATCTCCGCTTATGACTCAATTCCTGATCCTTTCACTGGATCATAAGAGACGGAGTTGTAAACGGTTCCGTTTAGCTTCTGACTCCGCTTACAATTCCGATTTTCAATTTTCACTCTGTCATTAGTGCTCTTGTGACTCTGACTCTGACTCCGTTGCTAGTGAAAACTGGCAGCCTTTAGGGGTTAAGCTCAAATTTGTCAACAAACTTCACCAACCATTTCACAAGTGGATCACCCTGGGATCCATATTCCGTATTGCCCTAAGAAAGGAGGTCTAGAAACGTAGGCATCTGGACATTTATGCTCTTTCCCTCCTCTTTGACATCCACATAGTCATCTAAGTGGCATGTGGTCCAGTACAGGGGTGGTAAGGGGTCACCAGTTTCAAAACTCGGGTACAAATTCAGGGAAGCTTGGTGATGACGACGAAGGTGATGTCAGTAATGATGACAAAGATGGTGATGATGAATTCCTTCATTGAGAACTTTTTCTCTCTCTTTATTCCTATTTATACACATCACATATCTTAAAAAAAAAAACTAACCAATATATAGCCTGTGTACATCCACCTTCTCCCCACAAAAAAGTTGGGGAGAGGGACGTCTGTGTAGCAGCATTGCTAATCATGTTCCACACTCCTGGTGGTTTTTCCTGGAATGTTTGGAAAGTACATTGATTGGTTGTTATACTAATTGGCACTAGTCACTGTCAGTGATAATTCTTAATTTGTGTTTCACAAGAAAACAATTATGTTACATTAGCCAATGAAAAGTGATGCTGTGTAACATTACCTTAATACAGGATGGAAAAGCATAGTGACAGTGGGTGTCAAATGTAACATGATAGGGCACCAGGTATTTAGAATTTGAAGATACTTGAAGCAAATATTTACATCCAAATTGAACTGGTTGGTACTGAACTGTGGTTGCTTAATATAAATATTTTTAACATTTTTAGGGCGTCACTCATTGCAATTCTGTGAGCCAGCTATCTGGTCTTAGCCTGTATTCCTGCACAATTAAGAGTTTTCCAAATTATGGCTGCATGAAAAGTGGGACAAGAGCAATTATTTAGAAGACGAAGCTGGGGTGTGTTCTCTTACATCATGCAGTGCACATTACTTTGTAGCCAATCATGTTATACTGTATGTTTAACACCCATGTGGGCCATGTTATTGCGCTACAACCATAGTCATAACTTATTGATGTTTTTAGTCTTTTTATTTGATTAATTATTTTCCCTTCCACCCTACATGTATTTTAGCGTTTTGAGGAACAGTATAATGCTGAACTTGAAAAAGGAAAGGTTTCTTCAGATACACAGTTTAATTATGCTTGGTGTTTAATCAGAAGTGATAACAAGGGTGACATTTTAAAAGGAGTGCTTCTTCTTCAAGGTACAGAGCAGAACTTCTATTATGCTAGCCTGTTGATAATGTTCTTGTTTTGCTATGTGTGTCATTCGGCAATTTTAGTTGATGTTACTTAAGGTCTTATTAGAGCTACAGCTTCACCAACATGTTTCGGGAAACTGTTCCAAGAAATAAACTTGTGGATAAAAGATAATCAACTCACAACAGAGTTCATTCTCAGAGCAGGTCATTTTAACTCTCTTTAGTCAAGGAGTATTGTGGTGATTTAATCTGACGTACTAATTTTCTCATAAATCAGAAACTGATGGTCAGGAATAGTACCAACCAAAATCCTCTTCCAGTATCTTGAGGTAATCGTTGGCATAGTAGGTGATGAGTTCTCAAGTGAGAAAGAACACACTTCTATCTGCAAGTGTCTTTCTTGGAATTGTTTCAAGAAACATGTTGGAAAAGCTGAAATTGATACAACCCTCCATATAGATGATAATGAACAGTTTACTAATTGCAATGATCCATCAACTGCCATCTTCTTACTCCAGCTCCCCTATCTTGGTGGCAAGTGTGACAGCCTTGTTGTCATGACCACAGGAAGCTTGGTAATCATTTAAACATGATGTCAAATACAAAATGGTTGTTTATGTTAGGTATTTTTGGTCAAAAGTGAACTTTGTTGAAAACACTCAAAATTTTGCATGCAGTTTAGTTTAGTTGTGTTAAACAATGTCCCGTATTTTTTTTTTTCACTGCAGTTTGCTTGAGGTATAATGTAGGCAAAGAACTTGTATTTGTTGTCTTGTTAGTGTGGAACTGCAAAGATGTTTTATTTTTTCACTTAAGAAACAGTAAAATGTTGCTTTCATGTCAACATGCGACCACAGAGATGTTGATTTAACTTAACAAACAGTAAAATGTTGCTTTCATGTTCCGGGGGTGAGCACAAAGATGTTGATTTCATTTAAAAGCAGCAAAATGTTGATTTCACGTCAACGCGACAGTTAAAAAAAATGTTGATTAGATAAATAGATGAGATAGATAGATGAGATAGATAGCTTTATTATGTAAAATCATTGCAACCTCCGAAGCCGCTGAATTGTGACATACTTTACATAAGATAAAACCTGAAAATATAATATAATATGATAAGATATTGAAACTATTTATAATCAAAAACTATGCTTCATGATTAAAGTGTCTCTAAACCTGTAAGTCTTACAAATGGGCAGTGCGAAGTATCCCCGGTTTTGTGTGCAGTAAGTGGATTTGTTACATGGCGGCAGCAGTTCATGAAGCGTGCGGCTTCGGTCCACCATAATTTGATCAAATAAAGCTTCACTCAGCGCCTGTCTCCTCTTGTACAGTGAAGCAATGCTTGTAGCTACAAGAGCCACAGTGTAGGATAAGTCAGGATATAATATGTGCAGCACACGCTTTTTCAGTCTATTCATATTGTTAGACAGGTATTGCAGCAAAGCACTATAGAAAACTGGGCATGCATACTCTAAAATAGAACAGTAGCATATCATTCGGTGGGAACTTAGCGCACTTAAGCTGTTTTAGGAAATACAGGCTTGTTACAGCCTTTTTGAAAATAGATTCAACATGCACATTCTACTTGAAATTATCTGAAATTACAACCCCCAATAGCTTTGCGGAGGAGACAACTTTGATTTGCTTATCATTAGTAGTAATAGGATCTACAGTGCTACCTAAACTAGAAAAGGAAATTCTCAGGTCTTTACACTTTGACTCATTTAGCTGAAATCCGTCAGCTTCAGACTGCGGAGCATCCACAAAACGTCCACAGAGTGTGATCGCAACGTGTGCTGGGAAGGATCTCTTCACCTCACGTACGGGAAAACATGGCAGTCGATGCAAGACATATTTTATCACTCTAAAATCAGTTCTGTCTTTCCAAATTTTGATTCCGGCAACGCTTGACAAATGGGCCATAACTCATGAGAGGGTTTTTTTTCTTGGAAGAAGTGCTCTTGGACTTTGCTGCCTGGATCAACCTCAAACCAAAGACTGATAACTCGATCATATTTGCGTTTGGAAATCCAAGAACAGGCTTTGCTGCTTCAAAACATGTTTATTGAGGCTCTGTGTTACCTCTCAACCATCAGGCAGGCATGCAGGGTACTTCAAGGTTACTTCAAACCTTCATGGGGCTACTTTTTCCAACTTTTCTTTTTTCCAACCAAATTAAAGTTCATTATTCAAGGTAACATTTTCCAAAAAATGAAAATAAAATATTAAAACGTGCACGAGTTATTGGAAAAAAGAGGTTTTTTAATAAAAGTTAATAAACCGTCAAGGTGTCATAATCCCCAAAAGGCATGGACTCCTCAGCAACCTTTTCGCGGCAAACAGCTTAATCCAGAGATCCTATATCAAATACTTTCAATTTGAGATTTCATGTCCGTCAAGAGTGCCTTTTTGTAATCACGCTTCAGCAATTGCTCCTCAGTTTCTTTTTGTTTTGTTGCACATCGCTTTTCTCCGGCCGTTTTGCCCTTTATGGTTGACCACTGGCCTAAAACATATGCATAAAACCTAAAACATGACTGTAACACTATCGCTGTACCGCGAAGCTCAACTTTCCTTACTGTGAATGCTAGGGGTTCTGTTATTTCATTGGCTGGCGGCATTTTGAGTTGACACATCCCTCTGAGAAGGCGTGACTTGTTTATAAATCTTTAGAAGGCGAAAACTTGCACTCGTTTTTNGGGGGAGGGGAGGGGCGTTTTAATTACATTTGCACGGTATAACACTCAAAATTTTGCCGATATGAGTAATCTATTAGACAACCCATTAGTGAAATATTTATTCCTTCTTTTTATTCTATTTTGGGGGGTGGCCCAGTGGAGAGGGTCCGTAGGGGTAGTCCGTAGACTGGTCCATAAGTAGTCCACAGACCCGGTCCATAGTGCGGGTCCGTGGACCGGGGGTTAGTGTTTTTGGTTTACTCCGCATCGCCAGGCGTAAATTGATGACTTCCGCTCGAATAATTTTTTTCTTTTCTTTTATGAGCCATACAATAAACAACTTAATAATCTTGACCGTTCGGTTGTTACGGGAAAATCTCAAACCTCGGCCTACTGTATTGACCTCGCTCTTGCTTGGTCAATACAGCAAGGCCTCAGTTTGCGATTTTCCCGTAACGACCTCGCTCATGGTTAATAAGTAGTTACTAATGGACCTTGTTCAAGATTCTCCCATAAAGACCCTCTTGGTTAAGAACTAGGTTTAAGAACTAGGTTTCTATTATGTCAGATATGACTTGTCACTTTTACAAGCACAAATCAAAAGGCTAATGTAATGTATTAGAGCGCAAAGGAGAGAAAGAGCTAAGTTGACCAGAAAGAGGATTTTTTGCCATGTTCCTTACTGCAGTACATGTCCAACATGTTCATGTTAAATAAATGTTTCTTAACGTCAAACAGGAATACAAGTCAGCTATCAAATACACAAACAGACTGCTGCAAATAGAACCTCAAAACCGTCAAGGAATAGAACTGCAAGAGAAGATTACTACAAAAATGAAGAAAGGTTAGTCGAATTGTATAGCCCATTCTATAGAAAAAAAGTAGCCTTGAGAGATCTTTATCTCCCTGCCATGCAAATGATGTTTACGAGGCTTAACAGTAGCCAAGGTGTAGATATCAACAAAGCAAATAGTAGGTATCTGGACGCAGGCTAGCAGATTATAAGCTCATAATTATGTGAATGGAGAAAAGTTTTTCCATGACCGGGAACAACAGGGCTTGCGCTTGTTCAGTGGCTCCCAGTGGTCACCCTACTTGAACAAGTAAGTGTTCTCTGCACAAATGTCACCCTACTTGTACAACATACTGCCCTTTTCAGAAAGATCATATTACATGAAAAACATAGTGTTCCTGTCACAAGGGTCACATTATACATGAAAAACATAGTGTTCTTGTCACAAGGGTCACATTATACATGAAAAACATAGTGTCCCTGTCACAAGGGTCACAATATACATGAACAACATAGTGTCCCTGTCACAAGGGTCACATTATACATGAACAACATAGTGTCCCTGTCACAAGGGTCACATTATACATGAACAACATAGTGTCCCTGTCACAAGGGTCACATTATACATGAACAACATAATGTCCCTGTCACAAGGGTCACATTATACATGAACAACATAGTGTCCCTGTCACAAGGGTCGCATTATACATGAACAACATAGNTGTCCCTGTCACAAGGGTCACATTATACATGAACAACATAGTGTCCCTGTCACAAGGGTCGCATTATACATGAACAACATAGTGTCCTTGTCACAAGGGTCACATTACATGAACAACATAGTGTTCCTTTCACGAGTGGCACATTGTATGAACAACGACCTCTCTCGTAAGAGCCCATAAGCCATCATCTCCAGTTCCATCCACTATTGTGAATGCCCTTTCACTTGTTACTCAAACTTGGCAATTGAAAGGTCTCGCAAAAGACCATTCTGGGACCGACAGTAACCGCCCTTGGGTATTACCGACTGGTCTTTTCCTTTATAAGCGACTTCTTAAAAATTCTGATTTGCTTTAGTTAGCAATTTATTAATCACATTTACCGTAATAATCACTGTATTTTATACTACTGGGGAAAGAGACTGAGCTAGTAAGCTTTACGCCAAAAGGTCTGGTATACGACCGAAGCGGGTGGTAGCTTATGAGAGGTCATTCTTCTGAAATGAAGAGCCAGGAGGGTTCTTACAGAGCTTCGACTGTATCATCAATGTTTAGTTGAACATCAACATTTGTGTGTATTCCTGTAAATAGAAATATTCTATTGAATACTGTTAGACTTACCTTTATCTCTTGACCTTGTACTCTGTACAGATGGCTTAATTGGACTTGGTATTCTGGGTGGTACAGCTCTCATTGTGGGTGGAGCAGCAGCCTTGGTTGGACTTGCATTTGCCAGTCGCAAGTGAACATTATGCTCAAAGAAGACAACGGATAATGTGTAGGATACGACTAGACATCACTGTACTAAAATAGAGACTAAAAATAGTTAAGCTTGGTTGCACCGTAGAAATTTGATGATCATTAACTGACCGTTCAACTAACCATAGTGGTTCAAACCTGTACCTCACACAATTTACTGTTTTTTAAGGTGGCTCAAAACAGTTTCCAACACTTAGATTTGGATGGGTCGTTATAACCACTCTTTATCACTTGATGCTACAATCATGGTATCAAAAAACTCCCCAAGCATTGGTGAACACGTTGTCATCATTTTCATGACACAACAGGTTACCATAGCAACAGTATGACCTCCTAAAGACACCCTTAATTACAGCTTTACGGGCTTATAATTCAAAAACGGCACAGTGAAATTTTTTTATATTACCAACTTTGCATAAGCATGATGAGACGCAACTTTTGGCAAAGTTTTAAAAAATTCTGTACATGTGGTTCAGAGCCACCTTAAAGTTTTGAAAAGTTAAGGTGGCTCTGAACCCCACGTACAGAATTTTTTTAAAGTTTGCCGAAAAATGTGTCTTATCATATCTATCAAAAGTTGATAATATAAAAAAAATTTCACCGTGCCGTTTTTGAATTATAAGCCCCTAAAGCTGTAATTAAGGGTGTTTTTAGGAGGTCATACTGTTGCTATGGTAACTTATTGTGTCACGAAGATGATACCAACATGACTGGGCAGTTTTTTGATACCATGATTGTAGCATCAAGTGATAAAGATTGGTTATAACGACACATCCAAATCTAAGGGTTGGAAACTGTTTTGAGCCACCTTAAGTGGCTGTTTATTCAGATTACTTATTTGAGCTAATTCCTTTAGTGACTTTTACCGCCATCTTGAACAGAAGAAATTAGTTAATGTTTCCTCCCGAAGTTCCTTAAATTCGACAAAAGAACTGCATTCGTGTGCAGTGTATGATGTAGAGTTTACTTTGTACTGAAAGTGTTTACAAAACCCCGGCAGTCAATTTCAAGTCATACCAGAATGTCGGAAAATGCGGCGGGCAACCTGATAGTCGAAATTATAAATACTGCATTAGATTTTGGTTTTTCTTAGTCTCCAGTACATGAAGGGAGAAAAGATGATAATAAAAGTAAGATTTAATTTATTTTAAACGTCACGGTGCAGCCTAATGCAGTACTTCAGTTAGTTGTCTTCATGTGGCTACCGGAAAATGAAAATGACTTGAACTGGAGACACGGAGATCATCTTGGTAATTATCTACGGTATTGTTTTGAAAGCAAGTTTTGGGTTGAATTTTAGTTAAAGCCGTTCAGTTCAAATTTGAGGGCCCTGAAAAGGGGGGAGGGGGNGCAATCCCATTTGCCAGCCCATATTTTTTTGCAAATCGCTCAAATCCTATTCCCACAAGCAGAATTCAGAAAAAATTCCAGTGTTATACATACCAGCTCTTTTCTCTTCGCATCCGCAAAATGAAGGCTTCTAAATACGACCCAACAAAGACCCAAAAATTCACGAGGATTCGCGAAGATGTTCTGAAGACGATAGGATCCTTTTAGACTGTAATAAAACATACAAGTAGGCAAGTTATAGAGATTACTTATGCTACAAGTTTCTGCCACTTGGTCGGACGGATCATGTTCAGTGCTGTTTCAAGAGCGGTCTACCTCTTCTTCAGAGTCGTTGTCATTCACTCACACTTAAGAACGTTCGCGCGAAAATTTTCCAACGTTGATTTTTTTCTGAGACTTTTACCACTGTAAGATGATAAGTCAGTTATGTCAGAAATGTAAAAAAAAATGGGGGGTCACCGACTTCGTTTTGGAGATAACATCCCCGGAAGAACACCCTAAATCTAAAATAATCGGGCGTCGTTAGCGAATAAGGCCACAGTGTCTGTAAGCCCCAAAATATTGCAATTAGAACTTTGAGATAAAGTGTTCTCTACTAAATATTGTTTGAGTGGACCTATTAAGTGAATTTAGTCAACTGGCGAGGTTCGTTAAAGACCAAGTTCGCATTTAGCGACCATAGTTTCACGCTCCTTGCAGCCGCAAGATGGCAGGATTCGATGTATCGTGGACAGAAATCTTTAAATTTTTTTAACTTCCCACATTGATTTTTTGTTCATTTTGGACAATGTGGAGATAATTGGAAATAAAATCTGTTTCTGGAAAGAAAAATAGGGGTCACCGAACGTTCGAGATCGTTAAATCCAGGCAAAGCTATAGCAATGGCCATCTGCCCTATCATTGTTCTTAGCACGCGCGCTCATGCATGGCGTGGCGTGTGAATTTGCATACGCAGTAAGGATGGGCAGAAGTAATTAGCGCGAACGTCCTTAAGCTGTCCACCTCTTCATCAGGAGACGCTGATGGTAAATTGGCATTCTCATTTGAATTAGCTGGCTCATTCATCTTCGCTTGGAACTCTGTACGCTTTAGAGTGAACTCAAATTGACTCGTTTCAAGAGCATTTCAGCTCTATATAAGTTCAGAGGCAAAGTGCCTGTCCTGCTCATTCTACTATCCTGTTTTACATTTCGTTGTCGGACGGATTTATCATGCATCTTAGCCCACGCCCCCATCTCAGCTTGCTCGTTTCTGGTTATCTCCTGTGAGGTTGGCTCTGAAATTGTGAGGCAAAGAAACTGTATGTGATGTTGGCAGTTTGTAATATGAATTTGGATGTGTGTAGTTCGCTGCTGTCCACTTAGAAGCTCATTTCACAGCTTCTTCAACTGATGTTCCAAACATCATTGCATATTCACACAATGTAAAAGTGTCTCTAAAAAGTGTTATGGCATGCGGGGAGTGCTGATTTAGAACATGAAGGATTAAGATCGAGTACCTCCACATTTGATCTCATTTTGTAACAGGAAAATAGTGACAAGTCCTGCACATGCTAGCCTGCGAACGCAGACGTATATCCGGCCGTCACTTGGTTCGCCTGAACCAAGTGACAGCCGGAAATACGTCTGCGTTCGCAGGCTATGTACATGCTGGATCTGGATTAACATGCTCAAAATTGACATGAACAAGGTACTTAAAACATTTTCTAACGTTTCTCGATCCCAGGAAATAAGTGATGTCTTGACTGGTCATGGTTACAAAATATTTATCCCATTCCCATTTTTGACATTTCTTTCCATTCCCAGTGACCTAATTCCCATTTTCCCAGGGCAAAAACAGGCCAATCCCAGTTCCCATTTTACCCCTTGAGAACCGTCAAATCTGGCGTACGCTTACGTTTAACATTTCGGGCACAAAAAGTTATCGGAATCCATAATTGTTTGACCCTCTGTTGACAGATTACATTTTACGTTGTTTTGCGATGTAACAAAGAGCTTGAGAAGTTGCCAAACTTTGAAATTTTGGAGCGGTCCGTAATCGGGGCCCAGATGGTAAAATCAGGACCGCTGGAGCGCGCGTGATTGGCTGATCAGATTCAAGGATTTGGGATTCCGGACCGCTGAGAAGCTGGAGAAAAAGAATACAGTTATCGTTATTATTGTGGCACTGCATAAGGTAATAAAACAAAATAATTAATACGGTGATACTTTGTTACATTCTCTCTTACATCTTTAGTGGCTTGAAAGCACCATTCTGGTAAGCGGCCAACCCCAGTCACGGACACTTTTTTCGCGTCCCGAGGATGTGCGCTTTTTTTGAAGCAATCATAGCGATCATGTGGAATCATTCACTAGCCTATAAATATATGCAACATACACAGACGCAGTAAGCTAGCATAACAAAAGGTGTTGATTATCACCCTCTTACTGTAGCTTATGCGCTTGAAGTGAAAGCCCTCTGTTAAGTCGCTCATTGTTTCACTGCATGGAAACAAATATTGTTTAAAAGTGCATTTATTTTCCTTGACAGACAAAACTTCACAAATTATACTGAACCAACACGTAAAAGGAAAAAAAATTGTGTTAGGAAACGTGTGACTCGGAGATAACATATTAGTCAAGAGGATGGACAAAATAATTTTAGCACGCGTCACAATGAATATATTAACTAATTGACGGAAGAATTAAAATTTCGTTCTCTGAAATAATTCTTAGCGCGTGTTTTAGTGGCAAACGACTTCAGAGTTAGTTGTAAAGTATTGCGTTCTCGAAACAAAGATTAAGTTTACGGACAAACCAATTTTAACAAAATACCAAATGAATATTTGTGGTATGACAGCCGAGTGTCAAATGGGACTTATTGAGTATGCTTGTTATTCAGAATAGGCTGACGAAGGCTTGATGAAGCAAGCTGAAGAGCACCCTGCGAGCAGAGCCTCTCTATCTCTTTTCTGGTACAAAGCATATGTACCGTAAGAAAAGGCTCTGCTTATAGGGTGGCTGATGAGTTCGCATCAGTAAAATCGTGCTCATCTCGTCTATTTGTGAAATATTGCGGAACGATAACAAGCTATGGAGGGAAACATGATTGTATCTCGCAGTTATTGCTTGTAAAGGAGTTGTCCAATCATGAAGTTTGACTGGCCGATATCAGTGCTCGGCGGCCTAACAAGCCAGACAATCTATTGATGTTTTCAATTTAGCGCGCTAATAATTTTGCGTTTTAAGCATTGTTAAAACAAGTGAAACTTAAAAAGGTAGAAAAAAAGCAGGCTAACAATGTCGCTTTTGTTCACTGATATAGTCAAATTAAACTTAACGTTCAGAAACAGGCGTAAAATAACCAAAAATTAATTCATAGTTAGTGAATGTAAAAAGTAAAAAAATTCTTAAAAGTCACTTCGACAAGAGGCCGGAAGATCGGTCTTGACACAACAATCCGCAGTTCACCTTACAATGACCTCAATGATCAGTTTAGAATAGTTACTTTTCCAATGTTTTCCGAAGCCCTTGAAATCTTACGACCACAAGTCATACCAAATAGAAGATTTATTGAAAGATAAAGTTGCATTTAGGTAGACGTAACCACTAAATTGGAGAAAAAAAATATTCATCAATTTTTGTAATTTTAATGATTTTTATTCAAATTTGAACAGAAGAGAAAGCTGCCCTGTTGACTGATGTGTGAACTGTTGCAAGGCAACACTGATCCGCATCATGAAACACGCAATCATAGCAAATCTTTAATCCTCTTGTAAACCTCATTTATCAAGCAAAAAGGACGCCGTCTTTAGTAAAAAGCGGCGCCACTCCAAGTGCTAATAACTTAGTAATTTTACAGGGAAGTTCAAGAAACAAGGTATACAGGAAGACCTTCGCAAAGCCAATCACAAGCTATAGCACTAATCGAATTTCATGCCGGTAATTAAAACTCGTTGATTACATATCACTGTTTTGCTTAAAACGTAATTAAATTATTCAAATTTGTTGTTTTCATAAAAAAGTTCGACTGTTGTCATGAGTTAATGATGGCGTGCTTTACACGTCCACTGAATGCGCTCAAAACTTGGCGCAAATTTTCCACACTGAGTGACAGAGCGCATCGGTGCGTGCAAGACAATCAGGTGACCACTGGTGTTGCCCCCAAATATGGCAACTTGGCAATATCAGGTGGTAACTGTACTCGATTCACCAATTATGTCATTGATAGATTGTCTAATGCGACTAATTCCTTGATAATCCCAGTCTTGTCCCCCTTCCCGCTATCCTATTAGTAAAGTAATATTTTGTTGACGAGAACAAAGCGGCCGACAGCGGTGCTATGGTTAATGGTTCCTCAGCGTGATTTGTGTGATCCCTTGTTAAGAACTCGTGTGCAAGTAACGCAAACAAAGCCGTTTATTAAATTATTGACCGGGCGGTTATTTCGCACTGAGTCGTACCCCAAACAAATTAACAACTCTTAAGTTGCTTTACATTCACACCATTCACGAAAAAATTCAAACTTACAGAAACTGAACACTCGCAAACCTTAAAAGCCGAACTTTTTCCTGTTAAAAGATTCAATTAAATAAAGGGATAACCAAATGATAATTTTCTTTCGAAACTGATTAAAAATTGATATTGTAAGAAAAGTTTTACAAATGGTGTCGATTTTCTCCAGCCAGCGTTCTTTCAAGGGATATTAGACATGAGTCAAGTGTATCAAATACAAGTTCATTCCGTAGAAGAAAGATAGCCGAAAGAAGCGCTGTGTTCTCTTGCCCTTATCCTGAGCGCTGCGATGCTTGTTGTCCTTCTGTCTGGTTCACTGGCGGGTGAACTGCTTCGAGGAGGAGAACCACGCGACACAACGGGCGAGAATTTAAACACTGGCGATTTATAAGCGGTGGATGTGGCGGCAGCCAAAAGTGATCCGCTCAGAGCTGTAGCCGCTGGGTAGTAGTCTGAATGATGGGCGTAATAAGGTGAATAAAAGTGGGCCATGCTACCTGATTGTGGGCAGGCCGCAGGGTGTATGGGAAGACGAAGGGCCGGGAAAGAAGGCGGTGGATGAGGCAGTGCTGCAGAACTAATACTAGAATCCCATTCTTGGTCATGTGTTTTGCTACACATTGTACTCAGATCTGAAGTGTAAGCAGATAGCAGTGGTGGAACTAAAGCATTGCTTAATCCAAGTGGGGCGTGAAGTCGGACTCCTTGCGCCTTCTCTCGTTTTCGCCATTTGGCTCTTCGGTTCTGAAACCAAACCTGTTTGAAAGAATGAACATTAGCGCCTGATACGATAAACCCCAACCATTACTCGATGGTTAAAGCGGTAGCGAAAGAAAATTTCGACTTCTTTACTTCAACTTGTCTTTGTAAATGTTATTCTTGTCTTCTAACCAGAGACAAATCTGAAATTGACATCAATTTTGCATAACTACTCGAACATCGTTAATCATTGTTGTGAAAGCGAGAGAAACATGATAAATTGCCAATAAAGTAAAGTACTTAGTTTTTATTAGATTTAAATTAGAAACAAAAAAATATTCAAAGAACGAAGGATAACTTCTCGCGGAGCATTCGATACAATTTCATAGTAATTTGGCCTCGGCAAGACGTCTAAAGATCTACAAACTAGCTCAGTGCCGTGCAATAAACAGCACTAAAACTGATATCTGCTGCGAACGGCTTTACACGGAAAAACTCCGTCGTAATTATCGACGCACTTACTGAACTAATTGCTAGTAGCAATTGAGTTTCAAGTGTTGTGGAAAATTGCCTTGCAGATTAATTTCCTTGCTGTAATAGTTTCATGATCATACCACTTATCTTCCATCACTTGCAGATGCTTCTCATTTGTGCAGTTTAATTCGTTTCTACGTCTTATCTTTGCCAATAAAGAGGTTTTCGTCCGCAACTAAATTGGACTATTTAATTAGCCGCGGGGCAAATCAGCTCATAAACGCTTCCAGTAATTTGAACAATACTTCTGGCTATCACGTATACATCTAGGAACATATATATACCAAGGCAATGAAGACGGCGAGAAACGACGATACTTTACCTGAACACGAGCTTCAGTTAGATCAATTTTCATAGCCAGTGCTTCCCTTGTGAAAACATCTGGATAATGAGTCTTAGAGAAGGCTCTTTCTAGTTCTTCCAACTGATAACTTGTGAATGTTGTGCGGTATCTGCGCTGTTTTCTTTTCCCTGGAGAACATTTGCTGTCATCTGTGTCGTGATCTTCGTCGTCGCTTTTACCCTTTTCATCTTCATTCTCGACTGCATCCTGTTCACTTGTTAAACTCAGTTCCAAATCGTTCTCTGTGGAAAAGAGATTGTGGTCTGCTGTTTAGAACGAGTAAAAAAGAGTGAATATTAGATTAATAAAATTAAGGTGATTTGTGTTTAATGCTTGTATGACAATTAGAACTAATCTTCAACACCATAATGAAATCATGGTGGCTGAAACATTTTTCGTTTTTTAAAGACGAAGTATATGAAGCCAAAAGTTAGCTCAGAGTTCTCGTGTACCAGTGAGATCGCAAAGGGGTTTTAAATTTAAAAAACATATCAAGAAATCTCATGGCAATATTCAAAATATTCATGAAGTCCGCCTTCGTTCACGGGGGCAAAATACCACCGGCAGCTAAAACAAAATTTTGGCATGTGAAAATGTGTTGTACGCCCTGTTCACTTCCCAGCTTATTTGTAAAATGTCTCAATGTTCGAGGCGCCAGCCGTGTTAGTAAAGCAGTGAAGCACTTCAATGATACGGTACCTTGTTCTGTGTCGTGCCGTGTGCTGTGATCCGGTTTATGTGTTGCTTCGTCGATCACTTGTTCCGGTTTTGCTAGGTGTTTGTGTTCATCTTGTCGGTTGAGACCCAGCAGTCCATCAATGGTGTAAGACGAACGGATTGCCTTCCCACTCATGTTTCGTGGCGGCACAGCTCTTGCAAATGGAATGTGCCAAGACTTGGACTGAGTGCCTTAATAAAACCCTGTGGACAGACCAACCACACGTGTAATGCTTTTGGTGTAAAACCAATGAAATACTCGGCCGATAATAAAATTAATAAAACTACGAAAGTTCATTAGGGAACGTCATGATACTCGACGCATATTCTTTACATTTGTAATTAGTTTAATCTCATTTGATCAAATAGCCGACAACAACGTGGAAATGGCAGATTCCTCATTAGGAGTTGAGCAAAAAACGATTTCTTTTTACGTCCGTTTTCACGCTAACCTGCGAGGGGGATCTTAAAGAAAATACGTGGAGCGAATTACGAGGTTAAGTGTGTGAAACAACCATGTTGACTCACCGGTATCAAGTTGTTTGTTCGTCACCGTTCTCCCTCTCACAAACCACTTACAACATGTGAACGGTACGCCAGCGAGCCTTTTATTCTCGCTGCGGTGAGTCATTTACGAGGTCAAGATCCAAATAAACGATGCTGTTTTTCTGATTGTGACAGGCCTCTTGTGACTTGTGTTCCGTCGTTGTAATATTTGTCAGCAACAAAATGTGTATTGTGAATTCTATCGCACGCTTTGAAGCGTAATCTTCAAATATTCTGTTCCAATAAATATAAATTAAAACCACATTCAACTGTAAATAAGTTTAACAGCTGATATCGGCAGCTGCGCGGAACAATGACCCGGTAAGAAGGGAATATTGAAAACTTGCACCCATCTCAACATTTTGATTGGGTTAATTAATCACCATTTGTCCCCGTAATTAATTAATTAATACCGTTTATCTTTAGTCGATACAAGCTTGATAGGCAGCCAATCAGCAAGCTCGGCTATTGAAGCGTTCGAGGTGTGCCGCTGTCGACAATTACACATTATCACATAGGTGTTATTACTTGTTTACTCAGTGCCACAATTCTGAGCGCGGTATGCGTTATTATCATAAGAATAAAATGTCTTTTTATCACCAACTCATTCCGATTTAATTAAACTAATAAGCCCGCAAAATTATTGCGCCAGCCACAAACTAAAACCTTCTTCGAGTGTAATTTCGTACCAAATACAGGTACGTGAAAGGGCAAATTTTGAAAGTGTTTTTTTATGACTGCGCTGTTAATGTTGATGTTTCCAGCATTGATTTTCAGAGTGCTTTTTCAACAATTAGTTTGTTGTTCCTGTGTTCGTAAACAAGAAGAAAAAAAAGCAAATACGTGAACAATGCAGCAGTGAATATTAATAGCATAATTGTGTGAAAGAGTCGAAATCAACAGTGATAATGTAATAACTATATTTTGTCAAGCCAAGCGTCCCAGTGAAATTAATCGAGTTTATAAATAAAACATTACACAGGAGGAGTTTCTTTTCCCTTTAAAAGGAACCGAAATGGCTGTTATTGTAAAAATAATTACCCATTATCGCCAAATGTACGTGAATAGACCAGGTTATAATAGCCATAACAGCCCCGCCGTAAATGAACCCTATTGTCAGGTCGGACAGGTTTGAATAGATAAGTAGTCAAGTTAGGCTTCAAATTTTGGGATTACTTAATCCGGTCAGAAACAGTGAGAACAAAATTTACGCGCCCTTTACGAAATTGACCTGGCTGATCAGTTGCAGTCCATAAATAATCCCCATATCACCAGATCGATGTGGTTGCGGCAGGATTGTGACATATTCCACGGGGCGTGTAAAAAGGGGACGGATCATGGCTTGATGGAACATCGCACAACAAACTTGTTTGTCCTCACTCAAGTGTAAGAAAGAACTTTCAAACAAACACTTCAGTTCTGAGATTTCCAATATCCGCTACTGACAAACACATGACAACAACACTCCGCGGCAACGTACGAGAAAATGATAAATTTACTGATAAAATTCGTTACTTTACAATTTGATACATAACAACTCAGTTCATAAGAATGTGATAAAACTAAGATTGGTATTAGTTCCACTTGATCGCTAAAAACGGAAAAGTTCCCTACGCTAACACGAACAAAAGGGTACTTCTCAGACTGCCAATCAGATTCCAGAGACTGTAATTCTCTACAAGGAAAATATACTAGAAATGTCTAAAACATAACAGCTAAATACTGGTCGGTGTTGATGTTCAGTCCATTACTTCAAAGGCTCAAAGAGAAAAAAAAGGTAATCCTATTGGGAACGTGTAAGACTAAGTACACCCATAGAAGCCCTCGAACGCACGTCGACAAACGAACGTGTAATGTCTTGTCTTAATAGGAGATTTGTACAAAGTGCACTGTTACCGTTTTGCTACATCGAAGTAGTGTGTCTTCTAACACTAATGAATCCAAGCCACGGTTGACTTACGAAGCAACATTCCAGCTGGCCCAGTAGCTGTCGCTAGGTTCCGACCGCCGGCACCTCTGTGAACGTTCGGAAAAGATTAAAAACAATTTTAATTACGTTACTTTGACTAAGCGGTCCCATGGCTTGTCAATCACTGAGTGGTCAGGGGCGGAGTTAATTAGCGATGTGTAGCACAGCAAGAGACTAGTCGATACACTCCCTCTAACTCACTCTCTCTCTCTCTCGTTCATTCTTTGATCTTTAAATCGGCTCTCACTATCGCGATTCGTCCGTTCTCACACTCGCGTGTTTGCTCGCACGCACGCACGCACCCTCGCTCGCACGCACTCGATTCATCACTCTCTGATTTTCGTTATTCAGTTGTCAGTTTTCTCAATGTAGCAGAGAGAATGTAGAGTTTCGTTCTTTTCAGATCTTGAAGCCACCAGGAGGAATGTTGTCCTTTGCTTGAAACTCAAACTGACCGTCCACTTCTGTCGGGGCTAATTCTTCATCGCCATTATCACCCTATGCATAACAAATAACACTGAGTTATAAACATACACAAACCACTTGCGGGTTGTATTATTACCAATAATCCTCAGCAAGCGTGCCGCCAGTCTTCTTTTGTTGTTGTAATGGCGATTATAACATCTCCTGACGAAACGGTGGGAAATAAGTAGAGACACCGCGCGATTTACAAAAAATGCAAAAAAAAAAACTCAGATCATAGGAAGAGACTTATGCTAAGACAAACCAAGCTCAACCACACGCACACGCGGGTTCCAATCTTGTTCAACAGACAGGTCTACACAAGTTACCTGCATAAGCAATGTCCAATCATTTTCTTATCTAGCTAAATACGTAAATCGTTGAGTTTGCTTCACTAAGCGTATCACCATACCATTGCCATGCGAGTGCTTCCGATTGTTTATGCATAGCGAGCTGATTTAATAAGTGGCGAACTAGCCAGCTAGTAAGTTTCACAAAGAACCACATGCAAATACTGACAGACTAAATCAAATCTGACGCTATGAGCTCTACATCTCAGACAGTGTTTGCTTGGTCAAGCGTATTAAACACGGTCATTACCATGAAAGAGTTGCAGTGAACCGCGAACACATCATATCAACCGCTCTGTGATATTTGTGGAATTTCTGCCCTGTTAGACGTGCATGCCACCCTCATACAATCCTTATTCAAAATGTTAACAAGTTGTCAAAACTAATCCAAATCAATCTTCCCGAAAATCCCAACGAGATAAAACTATAAGCATTTTAGTTCTTCGCGAAACTTGATCACACGCATGATCAATTTTAAAAGCTGTGTCAAGTTTTGCTTTGCATCGAAACACAAGCGCAGTTACTTCTTGTGAATCTTCTTTAACGCGTGAGTTCACTGCAAGAGTAAAACAACAGCGAGCAAGTAACCCTGAACAAGTTTTGGTGTCAGCCACGAGCTTCCTGAATCAACAAGACTACTATCGGCAAACACAGCGCTGTAAAATGGCGCAATAAATTTGTCATGGAAATCCAAACAGCCGCGGCCTACCAGTAGTAAGACAATAAATGTCCACCGAAATAAAAGTGAAACGATTATTCTATGTAAAGTTGGTAACTTTTCTTTGTTTTGTTAATTTTCTCCTACGCATCACAGAACACGAAGGAGGGAGAAGATACAATTTGGCCCACTCTCCTTCAGAGCGTCTCTTCAAGTGTAAGCTGGTGAATACACATATAGCATGTTATTACATGGCTTTGGCTTGTGGCCGATATAACGCGCGCTCTGATTGGCTAAGAGAGAGATCCGAGCGGTCATTATGCAACCGTAATGCCCACGGTCTGATTACAGATTATGCAAATTAGGAAGAGCACGGCTCTGAAAATTCAAGCGCATTGGAACGATGAAAGCCGATTAAAAACAGTAAGAGAAAGTAAATTTAATTCCGAGTAGCTAACAGTTTAGAGATTTTTCCTTAATAAAATTTATATAGAAGTCGTTTTTGACCCACCAGCCGGTAACCTTGGCGGGCACTAGTGAAAAACAA